GGAGGAGGAAAGTAAACCCAAATAAAAAATTATATAATAATTTTCCAAAAGTTGAACAGAAGTTTGAACTAAATATGTGATGAATTTTGGTCAAATAGTCTAAAAATTTGGATTTCATAATTTTGTTCCCAACATAGAAACCACCAGCAACAATGCATAGCTAAATGCTCCAGTTAAAGGAAAATATCATTTTTTTTCCTGGAATAATTTGCTTTCTTCCTGCTTCTTTTGACACTCAGAATATTAAAATGAAGCTGTGTGAGGGGCAAGCAGAATGAAGATACCCCGAAAAGTGGCTAGACCTTGACTCCTGGAAGTCTTTGCTGTGTTACTCTATGGACGTGGGCTTTGCAGATGTGGTTAGTATTACACACCTGGACACAGAAAGGCTGTGTGTTAAACTGAGGAATTGACTGTGGCTTCTACGGTGGAGACAGCCAGGGCATTGGGCCCTCACCAATGGCTTCCAAAAAGGAACACATGTCTCATTTCCATGTTTCTGTTGTTATGAGACATTCGATTTGAAGGAAATTTTACATCAAAAATAGAAAGTTAATATATGAGGTAGATGGGAGAATTGAAAATAAAAGAATGCTTTAATATTTACCAAAAATCTGTATTATGAGCAGTCAAAACCCAGTGTCCACAAGCAAAGCCTACTTTTTCTAAGGACCTGCTTGGATACAAAAACTTAATAACAAAAAATTCCACGGCCAGGCATGCTTCTGGAAATGATACTAATTTTTAGATTTCACTTACAGATCCCTCACCATTGCACATAAATGACAGTTTCTGTTTAGAAATGGGCTGTTTCAGTCCTAATACTAACAGCTGTCCTCAAACAGTTGGCTCTCAGTAAAGACTTGCTAAGCAAGAAGGAGGCAGTAGTAGTGGGCTGAGGAGCCAGGGGCCTGGCTACCAACCAAAGCTCCACCGTCGCTATCTTCGTTTGTGGGATTCTGAATGTCATAGTTTTAAAGACAGTAAAAATCATCGTCATCATATTTTTCATATAAGAATACCATCAATAAAATTTTAAAAATGTAAACGTTAAAGACCTTCATGTGTCTGTAAAACTGGATTCAGTTTAAATCTCCATGTTGTGTCCTAAAAAATACCAAAAGATGGGCCATGGGAAAACCCTCGATAACTGAAATGTTGTTGTGACAAAATCAAATGGGCAAAACAGCTCCTCTAATTACACTATCTACATAATTTATAATAACAGCACAATAATTCTAACTACTGTTGCAAGGAAATATTAATAAAGGGAAATACATAAGAAAGTATTTTGAATTAAAAAATGACTTTTCTTTTTAAAATAAACTCTTGTTTCTATTCAACTTCAGCATTTTAAACACCAAAGTTTTGTAAAATTTTAACAAAAGATGATAAACATGTGAAGACAATTTGATGGTTTGAACTTAAATGTTCTCACTTTAAAAGTAATAAATCAAACAGGTTAGTAATCTTGCAAAAGAAATCAATTCTCTAATTATACTTCCAAAATTCTATGGCAGACAATCTCAAATTAAAGTATATTTGCAAAAACAATTTTAGTATAACAAAATTTATGCCTTATTTAAATATGTAGCAAGAAAATGATTAGGTAAATGGATAAAATATTTGAAAGTCATGTATTATAGGGCCAGCAAGATGGCTCAGTGGTAAATGCACTTGCTGTGCAAACCTGGGGCTCAATGTTCAATTTCCAGAACCCAGGTAAAGGTGGAAGGAGAGAACCTGCTCCACAAAGTTGTCCTCTGACCTTCACATGTGTAAGTCATGGCATGTGTATCACCCATCATACACACACACACACACACACACATGCATACACACAAACACATGCACACTCATAATTAAATATTTAAATATAATAAAGATCATGAAGTAAAACAAATGTAGCATGAAATAAAATCACTGTGAAAAATTTAAATTTAGTGTAATCACAATTATTTTAATCTATTCATAACAAAAATTGGAAAGCAGTATCTCAAACCATTTGTGCCACTGTAGCATTGTTGATTACTTAATTTTATTGTTATTGTTTTCCAGATTTTTAATTCTATAATTGCTATTATTTCATAGTTAAAAATACATATCATGAAAAATCCAATATGAAATATTAAGTATTTTAATATAAATATTTTATGAAATGTTAAATATTATTTCTTGACCCTTCAGCACTACATGCACTGTAACTGTGCATATTCCATGAAATCTTCTGAAATTATGGGCTGTTTTAGATCAAACAAAACTGCATCCAAGTACCTTTGAGGTCTGATCTGTCAAACAAGATTATTCCAAATAATGAAAGTCAACATTACCCATGATGAAATTGGTGCTGGGAAGAGGCTACACATAGATATTTTATAGCAGAAAAAGTCTACTATTTGAAGTAATGCGTAGAAAATGCTTCATGGTTTACATCATTGCTAATGTTATATAGGTGTCCAAATTACAATACCCTGTAATCAAATACAAACTTTCAGATTTTTCAAATTTAAATTCTATAATTCTACAGAATCTATTCTAATAATCTTGGTGAAATTGTTCTTAAACATCATCAGAGATAAAAAAAAAAGTTGGTGCAATTATGACTTACTGTGGTTGCGCAATGAATGTCTTTCCACACCGTGGCTTCTCTGGAGAGATCAGAGACTTCAAACAAATTATCAAGAATCACTTCCCCAATCATGTCATGTCTAGAAAACCTGTCAAAATCATATACACTGAAATGTAGTTTCCGGTTGCTTAGTTGGTCGTATGCTACTGGAAACTGAAATGTTTCGTCAAATAGCGGATTCAGAGTCTTCCTGTGTACACGCGTCTGAAATTTCTTTTTCCTGTCTGGAAGAAGATACATCTTGACGTAAGGATCAGAAGTTCCTGTGAAATCTTTAGCAGGGAGATCTAAGGCTTTGATGATTTTAATAACTAGAAGTTCATTTTCATAATCATACTGCAGGGTAAAGTGAAGCTTCCCACAGATTTTGACATCATCTTCTCTGTTACCCTCGGAGTCAACTGACTTCTGCTTGTAGAGCTCTGGCTTTATCCGCCCAATGCTGGTTGTAGTTTCTCCTCTTTGTAAGACAGGTTCAGTGCCCATGCTAAAATCAACACTGGAAACATTCATTTGTCTTGGTAGATGTCTCCTGAAGGAATTGTGGCTGTACACACACACACATATACACAAAATCGTTCAGGTCAGCCATTTCTGATGGTAGTTATAAAGCTGCATGCACACATCCTCCCCACCCTCCAGGATCAGGAAAGGATGCCAATGCCACGTGACTGACTGTACCTATGTCTGTATTAACCTAGCCTCTCACAATGAAAAGAGCTACTTTTGGAAACTCAGAAAAAACAAAGAAAAGAATCTAAAATCTTACAAATAACTGATAGATGTGCATTGTAAGAGACTGTACTTTCCTCAGTCATAAGCATATGCTTAAATACCATTGTGAGAAACGGGATTACCAACAAAGTTCAATATTCCCCCAGAATCATGCCTGTATCCGTCATCTGGCACATCTGGACGTGAATACTGGAAGAAGTTACTCACTTGGGTGGCCTTTTATATCTGAATACTTAAATTTCACATTTTAGTAACTCCAGTATTAAACTTAAAAATACATATTCACACATTTTCTTGTACATCAGTCATTTCTCATACTTAACTAAATGAATATTTACTTTTAAAGTCAATAGAGTTGTGATAATCAGACCAAGAAAGTATATTTCCCTTTATTTGATGTGGTGTGGGCTTCAGAAGCCCCAAGGATGAAACAGAATGGACAAGTTAATATTTTGTGACAAATAACCAAGTTTTAAACTTTAAACTGAATATCTCATACCCATTATTTATCCCATCAACAGTTCCAGAATATTAATGTGAAGTCACACTAATGTCACTGAAGAGTAACTTGAATTGAGACCATCTCTCGGATACGGCCTCTCTGACTTCCAGCATCTAGGCCAATCTATGAGGTCCCTGCTGGCTTCATTTCATTTCAGATCTTTGGTTCCCGCCTGTCTTCAGTCTCCATCAGATGAATCAGATTCTAAACTGTAATTAATGGCTAGGTCTGACAGTTGCTCAGATATGCCCTAGCTACACAAAGTTCTAGGCACAGATCTCTAAATCTTCAATATTTCTAAATAGATGTCCTGACTCTCCTTCCCAAACTCAAGGAAATTCACCATTTCTCCATTTTGCTCTCAGAGCAGTTCTTTCTCATGGAATCTCAGTGCTAACATCTTTCAAGGTGCTTATGCTTAGAGCCATGCAGTATGCTTTGAGTCATCTTTCCTTCTTTCATGAGATTACTCTATTTTCTGAATCCTGTTGCTGTGCCCTTTTTTTTTTTGCTGTGTCCTTTTAAACACCTCCTATAACTATCAGTTCCATTCCATTTCTGTTGCTCCCAGCCCTAGACACTTATCACCTGTCTGCTTTGCTTTCTCTTCAGTGTCCTTCAATTACTAGCCATTCTATATACCAACAGGGCTTGCACTTCAAAATCCTCTGCTCAGGTCTGTTGACTGTTGCATCAAATCTACACCTTTGACATCACTAACACAGCTACAATGATATTTGATTTCCAAGGATTGAATTCCGAAAGATTAATACAAATTTTGTGAACATCCAGAAGAGAGGACATTTGACTTAGAAAGGAGACCATCAGTGGTGAAGCAAGGATAGGCTCATGGCTGGCTGCCTTCTATGTCTGAAGAGTGACCAGGACAGAATGTGCATTTATGGGAAGTAGTAGATGGTGGATTTCAGCTTAATGTAGTGGAATGCTGAAAAGCACATGGAGCTACTCAGCAAGGTGGTGAGCATCCCCAAAGTGGAAGTACAAAGCAAAGGTCAGACAAAGGGACTTTTGTCTCAAGGTGTCAAAGTATCAGGCATTTCTAATCTTAATTTATATGATTCTCTGTCATTCTAGAATGGTTCTTTGCAATTTTATGGGTCAAATGATATAATTATTAATCATGATATTATGCATATTAATAGTGAGATTTGTCACAATCAGAGTTATAATCCAAGGTAACTGTAGCTATTCCCTTACATTTAATCAACTAATTAGTAGTTGGACTAGGTGGTTAGTTAGATGGTAATATTGAACAATAAAAACAGTTCCATAAAAATGCTGAGTTGCACTTAAAGAAATTTTATAAAGCTCCCTTTACAAAGATGAGTAAGATAAGCCAAAATTAGTTGTAAGAGAATTAGCAACTCTGTCCACAACTGTAGTAGTCACAGATTTCTCAAATAGAAAAAGGAAAGAAAGAAATGAACTGTAGTTTAATATCCACAATGTAAATTAAGATATAAACTGGCCAGGTGGAGGAAACAGTGCAGTGTGGTAGGAGCATGTCCTTCATCATTCTGCCTAATGTTAGCAGAAAAATAGTATGTTGTCTCACGCAGATGAAAAAAACACAGAAAAAAAAATCGTTCCATTATCAGATTGGAGCTACAAATTTCAAGAATTAGAATGGGAAAAACTAATATCAAGTAGCAATCTAGGATAATGGACTAATAAAATGGGAATAAAATAAACGCATACTATTACATTTTTGCAATAAAAATTAAAATGTGCAGGGGCTGGAGAGATAGCTTAGCAGTTAAGAGCACTGACTGCTCTTGCAGAGGACCCGGATTTGATTCCCAGCACCCACATGGTGGCTACAAACCGTCCTTCACTCCAGTTCCAGGGAAATCCGAAGCCGTCTTCTGACCTCCATGGCATTGCATGACACGGGTGCACTCACATACATGCAGGCAATACACTCATACACATAAAATAAAAATAATAAATAAAATTTTTAAATAAAAAATTAAAGTGTCCTTTGCTCTTCACGATTTGTAATAAAGTCCAACATCATGAGCACTTATGATACAGTGAATACAGGTGCAAATATTCACTTACTCTGTGAAATGCTTGTCTTTAAGTTTTCCATTTTCCTACTGAGAACTTTGAGGCTCAGACAGGTAACACAGGTGCCACAATCTGGAGGAGTCTAGGTCTAATGGGCAAAGCCTCAGCGAACATGTTACACTTGCACATCCATAATTACCACATATATTTAATTTATGTAAAAAATAATCTGTTCTTTGGCTGGAGAGATGGCTCAGCCATTAAGAGCATTGACTGCTTTTGTAGAGGACCTGGGTTCGATTCTTAGCACCCACATGGTAGCTAATAACTCCAGTCTGTAACTCCAGTTCCAGGGGAATCCAATGCCCTTTTCTGACCTCCGCTGGCATTGCATGACATGGGTACACTTACATATGTGCAAGCAATATACTCATGCACATAAATAAAAAATAATAAAATATATTAAAAAAGCTAATCTGTTCTAGAGAAGGGTGTGGTGGCACACACCTTTTATCCCAGTCCTCAGGAGGCAGAGGCAGGTAGATCTCTGTGAGATCAAGGTCAGTCTGGTCTACATAATGAGTTCCAGGCCAACCGTGGCTACAGGGAGACTCTGTCTCAAAAAAACCAAGAAAAGTAATTGTTCTATTAAGGAACCATATAAAATACTTAAAATTATTCATATCATGAAATTGTTCATATTAACCAAAATTCGTTCATGTGTATTCACATAAGCATTATGTATAAGATATTTATATAATGTAAAATTCAAAGCTTACTTGTAGTTTAAGACATATTTTAACAGCTGTTTTTCAAATTTTTTTGAATAGTTACCAAAATAGAAAGGAAACAGGATGCTTAATTTGTAAGCCAGATTATCGTTAAATGTAGTGTAAAAAATTCCTATCAAGTTGTTATTACACATTTTGTAAGAAATGACATTTTTGAAAATAGCAACAAAATATTGCAACAATTTATACTATATTATATTAACAAGGATTAAGTTAACAACTTGACCATAATTGAAAAATTATTTCTATACCAAGAAATACATTGGCAAACTTTAATCTCATGTGATGGAACTATGTAGTAATTAAAAGTATGCTTAATTTGAAACTCAGTATTTCAATTTCTGTATTGAATACATACAAAGCCTTTACTAAAACTTCAAGACTATAAATCATGATCTGTCTGTTCCCTTACACCTTCCCCATTATAATTCATTAGAGATGCCATGAAATGAATTTTGACCTTGAATCTAACTTAAAGAATCAGAAGTCTAAATTAGATTCAGGGTAAGATCAGGGAGAATTTATAAAGAAAATAATGGTAAAAATTCATGCAGATTGTGATATTGTTGTGAAGCACTAACATGGCCTAGTATAATCAGGTTTCCAATTTAAATACAGAGTGCTAACTGACCATTACACAATAGGGTCAGGCCCAAGCTAGTTGGGAAGGGTCATTAAATATTAAAATATTCCTGTTAAAATCACTTTTGCTTATCCAACAATTATAATTCTCATGAGCATGACCTCTAAGAAGTTAATTCCTTAACTTTATAGGTTTATTTCCTGATTTCACAGTCAGGCTCTCAAATATAATTTAATCCTCTGTCCTTCCCTCAAAGCTCAGAAATATCTCATTTATGCCTCTGAATATAGTGTGCACAACCATAAAGCTTCTAATGAAATCAACGGTATAGTGCCTCTTCTAGCTGAGATAAAAATGTAGTGACACTTCTGTTCTTGTAGCCAGTGTCCTAATTATAGGGTAAACGGTGCACTTTCTAAGTCACAATTTAGCTAGTCAGTTAAGAAAAGCTTTAATTACTACAATGTTGAACTATTGCCATGACAACACACATCTTCTCCCCTGCCCCCTTTTTTCTGTCTTGGGTTGACAGTGATTAGTGGCTAACAAATGTTCAAGAAATCTAAGTGCAAACCATTTCACTTACAACTAATTCCACTCATCTTCAAATCTTAGACAGCACCATCCAGGCATGTTGGGAAGAGTAACTGGACCGCAATTGGCCTCAGCTGTCTAACAGGGACAGGAACTGCGTAATCTTCGACTTGTCTGAGACTTCCTCATCTCTGAACAGTGTTTCATAGTTTCTCTGATGACAAAGCAATATCAGAGTTGGCCATGGAAACTAATTTTTCATATTGCTATTAGTTATTGGTGTTAGAATTCATGACATAAGGATCTTAAGCAAGAATCATGATGAGCTCTGTGGTTTGACAAGTCAAATGGCATGTCCTGATTGGGCAGGC